AGCAAAAAACACCCAACTGTAAAAAGAAAAAGAAAAAAGGATCCAAAAATATGAAGATAGTGTAAGGAGCCTCTGAGACAACTTCAAAAGTACCAACATTTTGGGGGTGCCAGAAGAAGAGAGAGAGCAAGATATTGAAAACATATTTGAAAAAATAGTGACAGAAAACTTTTTTCACCTACCTGGTGAAACAAATAGACTTACAAGTCCAGGAAGTGCAGAGAATCCCAGACAAAAGGAATCCAAAGAGGCCCACACCAAGCCACATCATAATTAAAATGCCAAGGGTGAAAGAGAAAGAGAGAATCTTAAAAGCAGCAAGAAAAAAGCAGTTAGTTACCTACAAGGGAGCTCCCATGAGACTGTCAGCTGACTTCTCAACAGAAACTTTTCAGGCCAGAGGGAGTGGCAAGAAATATTCAAAGAGATGAATAGCAAGAACCTACAACAAAGAATACTCCACCCAGCAAAGCTATCATGTAGAATTGATGGTCAGATAAAGAGCTTCACAGACAAGAAAAAGCTAAATGAGTTCATCATCACCAATCCAGGATTATATGAAATGCTGAAGGGTATTTTTTAAGAAGAGGAAGAAGAAGAAAAAGGTAAAGATGAAAATTATGAACAACAAAGTGACAATAAATATATATCTATCAACAGGTATAAAAATCAAGTGAATAAAAAATCTGATGAACAGAATAAACTGGTGAATATAATAGAATCAGGGACATAGAAAGGGAGTAGACTGACAATTCTCAGGGGAAAGGGGGTTTGGGGGTGCAGGAAGAGACTGGACAAAAATCTTACACCTATGGATGAGGATGTTGGGGGGCGGGGTAAGGGCAGGGGGTGGTGTGGGAACCGGGTGGAGGGGAGCTATGAGGCAGCGGGGAGAAGAACATTTGTAATAATCTGAACAATAAAGATTTATTTTTAAAAATAAATAAATAAATACGATGAAATTCTGTCACCTCGGGGGTTTAGCTGTTTGCAGATGACAAGGCTTGAGGTACTGAGCGGTGCCTGATAGCTTCCTCTGCAGGTCGACATTTATCTACTATGTTGCTGAACATGTGTAAAGGTCGACTCTATAAATGTTGCAAATAACCTTGGTGTCTCCAGGTTGTGCCAGGTGGGACAGAGTCAGGTCCTCGCACAGCCTGATTCTCCTCTACAGACAGTGACGGGAGTAAATGGGGAGAAGGGGCAGAGCACCCTGAGCTCCGTGGGAAGGGCGGAGCACTCGGAGGGGACGCCGCCTGCGGAGGACGGCCACAGGGCCCTCGCGGCATCGCTGCATGCGCACCCCCGGGCGGTGCGGGCTGGCACAGACCTGACTCTCTGCCCTGGACCTTTGCAGATGACCACTCAACAACTCGGACTACATCAACGCCAGCCCCATTGTGAGTACCGTCCCCACGGAGGGCGCCAGCCTTTCCCAGGGCACCACGTGGGCAAGCCACATGAGGTTGGCATGGAAAACATGCCCTGCCCTGCTCCCAGTAGACCTGATAATTAGCCTCAACTGGGTAACTAGCCTCAACCAGTAACCAGCCTTAATCAGGTAACTGGTCTCTACCAGGTAACCAGTCTTAGCCAGGTAATTCATTTCAACCATTAACCAAGTAAGTAGTCTCTACCAGGTAACTAGTCTCCACCAGGAGCCAGCTTTAACCAGATAACTAGTCTCTACTAAGTTACTAGTCTCCACCAGGTAACTAGCCTCAACCAGGAACCAGCCTTAACCAGTTAACTAGTCTCAACTGGGTTCTTAGTCTCAACCAGTAATTAGCCCTAACCAGGTAACTTGTCTCAGCCAGGTTACTAATCTCAACAAAGTAACTAGTCTCATTCAGCAACCAGCCTTACCCAGTGAGCCAGGTGACTGTGTCCTGGGCAGGGAGCAGTGACCGGGAGGGCCAGCACCAGTGGCCTGAAGGTTTACCCTTTCCTAGGCCCACTTGTGCCCAATTCATTCCAGGAAAATGGGAAAATTAAAGCCACGCCTGGCACTTGTGAAAGTGATTCCTGGCACTTGGCTGTCTGGAGGGGTGCAGGGTACTGTGCCCTCTGGGAGGTGGAGCTGCGGACCAGACGAGGGAAAGGGGTCTCTGTCACCCCCTGACCCCTCACTGTCAGGTCCCCGTGGCCAGCCCACCCTCTCCACTTCTAGGGAAGTCCTCCAGCCCACAGCTGCCTGGGCTGTCCTGCCTCCTGTCTCACCGCGTGCAGCCCCTGCGGTCCTCTTGCCCTAGGCAGGGGGGCAGCGGCTGGGGGTCTGCAGCCACGGGAGAGGGCTGTGTGCCTGCAAGCAGAGGCCACAGGAGTGCGGTCAAGGGCATTTAAGCCGGCAGCAGAGAAGGGCTTGGTGTGGGCTTATGAGGGTGAGGGGCTGAGGTGGCCTCGATGTAGATATGTTTCTCCACGTTGTCTTAGGGGAGGTGTCCTGACGTTTCCCCGAAACCATGACTTGCATCCAGTCAAGGACTGTGTGTGTCGGGGGGGCGGGGGGTGCTGCACCGGCTGCTATTCCAAGGCAATGACTTTACAGGTGACAGAGGTTTGGGTGGGACAGGGGTCTCTGGACTCATGAAAGGCATCCCATGTGCTAGCAGCCCCTGGCTCCCCAGTGGTGAGCTGTCCAGGAGAGCATTGCCATGTGACTCCAAGCAGCAGCTGCTGACGGTGGGCCACGGGGGCCACAGTGGCTGGTTCCACTCATTCCAAAGCGCCTGTTGTATAAACGCCTTGTTGAGGCTCCACGTGCCTGGGCCACCTCACGCTTCCCGATACTTCTCACCGCCGGTCCAGCACAGCGCAGGGAAGACCGGCCGGCGTGCCTGCCTGCCCGGCCGAGCCCGCCCTGGCCTGTGGCCTCGTGGAAGGAGGTTGTCCATACCTGGGTCCTCCTGCAGGTGCCTCCGGACCTCGACCCCTGGTCCCCAGGTTCTCCTGTGGCCACTCAGGCCCTCTCCAGCACATCGCCATGTGCTTGGATTTTCTTGTTGGCTCTGATTCAAACAATCAAGGCAAAGCCGCACTGGTGGCCACCCGTCCCCGCTGTGAGCGGCCTGTGTCCGGGAGGCGGGTCTGTAGTTGCCTGGCCCCGGCCTGCACAACGGACCATGGCGCTGACCCCAGACCCTTGGAACAAGGAGAGTCACGTCCTTCTATGACTCCTGGTCCCTGGGAGGACCCACGAGAGAACTAAAGGAGTCGTTCCAGGTCCGAAAGCCATGAGGGCGTGTGTGCAAGCCCCCGCGTCCCCTGTGTGGGCCCCGAGTTCCAGCGCCTACGGAAGCCCAGGGTCAGGGTGGGCACAGCTGCTGGTGTAGAAACAGCATCGTCCCAGAGCAGCTCCCGCAGGGACTTGGGTCTGAAGGCAACACCGAGGGAAATAAGTGACTTTGTTGTGCTCCCTCCTTTATTCAACACCACAGTTCTTCCTTTAACTTGAGTCGTAACGGTGAACTAGAAGCCCATGGGGCATCTTCCTCTGAGATAGCGGAGGCCACGGCAGCTGCAGCCAGCAGCTGAGTAAGAAGCGCCGTCAGGGCTGGGAGCCTGGCCATCCGTCACCACGGTTGTGCTCAGCCCGCATGACTCCGCCACCAGCCATGGGCGATAGTGGGCAATCTTTGCTTTTCATTGGAGGTCGTGAAAGTGAACCAAGGCCCTGCTCTCCCGCACAGTGTCCGAGAGAGGCCCCTCGGGCGGCGGGCACTGGAGCGGAGGCTGACCCGTCAGTCACACGGCAGTTTTGTCAAAACCGCACATTTCACAGCAGGGACAGGCTGACGTCTCATCAGCAGGTGAGGATCGTCTCCCTCTTCATTCTGTAGTCTCTTAAGGGAGAAAAAATGTTTAAAGTTTTAATCCGTGTTCCTGGATTGGTAAAATCAACATCATTAAAATGTCCATACCCAAGGCTCTCTACAGATTCAATGCCATCCCTATTAAAATACCAATGGCATATTTCACAGATCTAGAATAAATACTCCAGAAATTTATATGGACCAAAAAAGACCCCGAATAGCTGCAGCAACCTTGAGAAAGAAGAACAAAGTTGGAAGGATCACAATACCAGATCTCAAGTTATCCTACAAAGCCACCGTAATCAAAACAGCCTGTTACTGCCACAAGAACAGGCATATAGAGCAATGGAGCAGAACAGAGACCCCAGAAATCGACCCAAGCCATCATGCTCAATTAATATTTGACAAAGGAGGCAAGAGCATATAATGGAGTCAAGACAGTCTCTTCAATAAATGGTGCTGGGAAAATTGGAGATACAAGAAAAAATGAAACCAAGCCACCAACTTATACCATACACAAGAATAACTCAAAATGGATAAGGGACTTAAATGTCCCTTAAGTGAAACCATGAAAATCCTAGAAGAAACCATAGGCAGAATAATCTCAGACATCTCTCATAGCAATATGTCTACAGATACATCTCCTAGGACAAAAGAAACTAAGGAGAAAATAAACAAATGGGACTACATCAAAAAAGGAAGCTTCGCCCTAACTGGTTTGGCTCAGTGGATAGAGCATCGGGCTGCAGACTGAAGCGTCCTGGGTTCGATTCCGGTCAAGGGCATGTACCTTGGTTGTGGGCACATCCCCAGTGGAGGGTGTGCAGGAGGCAGCTTCTGCACAGCAAAAGAAACCATCAACAAAACGAAAATGGAGCCCACTGTATGGGAGGACATATTTGGTAATGATACATCTAATAAAGGGTTAATATCAAAAATATATAAGAAAGTTATACAACTTAACAAAAGGAAGACAAACAACCCAATTAAAAAATGGGCAGAGGACCTAAATAGACACTTCTCCAAAGAGGACATACAATGTCTAAGAGACATGACAAAATGATCAAAGTCACTGATCATCTGAGAGATGCAAATTAAAACCACAATGAGGTGTCACCTCACACCTGTCAGAATGGCTACAATCAACAAATCAACAAACAACAAGTGCTGGTGAGGATGTGGAGAAAAGGGAACCCTAATGCACTGCTGGTGGGAATGCAGACTGGTGGAGCCATTATGGAAAATAGTATGGAGTTACCTCAAAAAAATTAAATATGGAACTCCCATTTGACCCAATGATCTCACTACTAGGAATATATCCTAAGAAACCCGAAGCACTAATCAGAAAGAATGTATGACCCCTATGTTCATAGCAGCACAATTTACAATAGCTAAGATCTGGAAACAGCCCCAGTGCCCATCAGTAGACGAGTGGATAAAAAAGCTGTGATACATTTATACCACGGAATACTCTGCAGCTGTAAAAAGAAGGATCTCTTACCCTGTGAGACAACATGGAGGGACCCAGAGAGCATTATGCTAAGTGAAATAAGCCGGTGAGAGAAAGACAAGAGTCACATGATCACACTTATATCTTGGAATCTAAGTAACAAAATAAACTGATGAACAAAGTGGATCCAGAGGCATGGAAACATGGAACAGAGTGTGGAATCCCAGAGGGAAGATGGGGAGGATGGGTGAGTGGGAGGTAATCAACCAAAGACCTTGTATGCTTATATGCATGGCCCTTGGACACAGACAGTAGGGCACACACAAACAATAGGGTAGTGAAGGCCTGGGGTCTGGGGCGTGGGATGGGGGTGGGCGCCGGAGGGGTTCAATGGTGGGGAAGGGGACATATGTAATACTTTCAACAATAAAGAATTATTAAAATAAATAAAGTTTTAATTCAGAATGTGTTTAACTGATTTATCTAGTATCAGAACGCGTTTGTCTAATTAACTAGTACAAATTGATTCCTTAGAGGATGATGCCCTGAATAGCATAAGAAATTGGCCAAATAGGAGAGCCAGGCTTCAGGACACGCTGAGCACTTCCTCCCTAAGATCACTTCTGAGAGGACACTGGGGAAATTATTGCGAAGTTCTTCATGCACATTAGGGTTTCTAGGGAGAAAACCAGGCAGCCCGCTTATTTAATAACTAGAGGCCCTGTGCATGGATTCGTGCACTGGTGGGGTCCCTCAGCCTGGCCTGTGCCCTCTCACAATCTAGGACCCTCGGGGGATGTCAGAGGCCCAGTGCACGGATTCGGCCCAATCCCTGCAGGCCAGGCTGAGGGACTCCACCAGTGCATGAATCTGTGCACCAGGCCTCTACT